CCCGGGGCGCCCGGTTCATGTGCTGCCCAGCTCGGCCAGCGTTGCTGGCACACGTGCTGGGCTGTGCAGGGCCCCGCGGCCATGGGGGGAAGGGCACTGCTGGCCAGCGCCTCGGGGTCGGCACTGTGAGAGCCGGGTGCGCGGCACCTGATGGCAGCTGATGACAGATGCCTTCAGGCGCCACCCCCCCCCCATCGGTTGGTGCCCTGGGCAGCTGCCCGGCTCGCCCATGCCTCCATCCAGCTGTGCCTCTGCCTGCTGGCCCCAGCACAGAGCCACAGCAGCTACGTGCCCACCCAAGCATGGTGCTCAACCCAGAGCTGCCACTGCCAGGGGATAGGTGCCTCTTCCCTGGCCCACACCCAGCCTAGCCCAGACCTGGCCTGACCCCCACTGGAACAGGCACAGCCATGGAGAGGTACCTCTTACCTTGCCCCAAACTGCTACCATGAGAGAGGGCTTGGGGTAGTCCCCTCTCCCCAGGGCAGCCTTCACCCTGAATCCCTCATCCATAGCCTGCACTCCCCGAACCTCCAGCCAAGTCTCTCACCCCAACCTTCTGCCCCAGCCCTCCCACACTCTAGCCCCTCAGCCCCACCACATACTGTCCACGTGTGGAATGACTTTTATGATGTGATATATTGTCTACATACTGGCGCACGTAACAAAAGTCATTCCACACATGGACATAAAAAATTAAAGGGAACACTGAACCCAATTGAAATGGACTGCCCCAGAACTCTCAGCAGCACACACAAAGCTCAGGGCTGCACAAACCCCCTTCTTTTTGTCACACAGCCATTCTATTGGAAACTCAAATCGCTTTGACTATGTAGTTTAAGTCAGATATCAGAGGTCTGAGAAGAATGAAGGACCTTCTAAACTGCAATGCTGAACAAATACATGGAATTTAAAATGCAGGCTCAGTTTTAAATGTCTTGATTATTGTGGATTTAAGCCAGATACTTTATTTTTATGTGAGTAAAACTATCTAATGTTATATCTTTTTGATAGCAGTAGCTGGAAGCAGTGTTATGATGAAGGGTCTGTTGATGTTTCCAGTAGAAATACTATCTTTATAACGTTATCTTTCTTCTTAATGTATGTGCAATGTGCCTCAGGGGGCATGTGACCAGGAATCATCACCAAATTTAGTTCATTGCTTGGATCATTAACTTTCCTGGCCCAGGTTGGGTACTGACACGCAGCATGATGTCTACACTGATCCATGCCCCCACATAATTTTTTTAATTAATTAAGGATCTGAGTTTTAGAGGTACTGAATACCCACAGTTCCCATCAACTTTACCTGAAGCTTCTGTGCAAGTCTATGATGTGGGCTTATAGACTCACTAGTTACTAGCCTTCATGTAATTATTCTTAGTAGCAGAAGCTAGAACATTGCTGAATATAGTTCCATGGTATCAAAATTTTTTTGCAGTTTTGTATGTTCTTTTTGTAACACACCTTTAAAAAAAAAAAAGCTTGATTTTCAATAGAAATTTTACAAGTGCCTTGTGTTCCCTATAAACAGAAACCTTTTTTGTTTGTTTACTTTTTATTTAAACACTGAATAATTTAGCTTTTAAAAAAAAATCGATGACTGTACACAATGCCTGATGATAGGTTTTTTACAAACCCATTTCTTTCTAATGACTGCCAAGGTGCAATCTCTTCTCAATATCCATAAAATAAATTGGGCTGATGAGAGCTGTGTGCGCTTTCCAGGAGCAGACTATTCCACAGAATCTGAAAATAAGCATATTATATAAAAATCTCATGTAGACATCTTACATTAATTGCTACAGCTCAATGCTGAACTGCAGGTCTTCTGCCACGGCTCACTCTATGGTGTGTCTGTACTTGTATTGGCACGTAGAGTACATGCACTGCATGACCCCTCAGCACAGTATAACCAGGAGTGTAGACCGCAAAGCACTTCTTTGGGACGATGCCAGCAGACAAAGTTCAGCGTGCTGCCCCCGCCCCTCCCACAAGAGCCACTGCTGGATATGCTGGCTGCTTTCAGGAAGGGTGCAGGGCTGGGGGAGGGGGGGGTAAGCCTGCCTTAGCTCCACTGCACCACCACCTGAAATAAGCAGTGCCCAGCCAGAGCCTGCATCCTGAACCCCTGACCCAGGCCAAATACCCTCCTGCACCTCAAGCCCTCAGCCCTTCCTGCACCCAAACTCCATCCACTAAGAACCAGCACCCTGAACCCTCTACTGCACCTGAACACCAGACTCAGTGCAGAGCCCCTTCCATATCCTAAATCCCTCAGCCCAATACCAGAGCCTACACTCCTCTGCACCCCAACCCCTGCCCCAGACTGGTGAAAGTGGATGAGGGAGGCAGGCTGGAGCGATCAGGGTGGGGCCTCAGAGAAGGGATGGGTCAGGAAGCAGGGAAAGGGTATTTGGGTTGGAGGTAGATCCTGGATTACATTTAAATTCAAAAAGAGATATTGTGCTCAAAAAGGTTGGAGACCACTGCTTTAGAATATCCTGCTGCCTTTTTATATGGCCACATAATCAACATGAGAACACGGTGGCAGAATTTAGCTCAAAATAGTGTATGTATTGTCCAAAATAGAATTGCATCAAATGAGGTGCTATGTATTGCAATAATACCCATTTTATTCTATAGCCATTTTTACATCTGTAAGGATCATAAACAGAACAAACTAGTGCTCAGTCGCCCCATTTTTACATCTGTAAGGATCATAAACTGAAAAAACTAGTGTTCAGTTGCTATAACAAAGCTTTTTTCCATAGACAATAAATGAAATGCTGTAACCTATAGACAGAGTAAGATTGGATTCAGTTGATCACTCAGTCCAAGCCCCATATTTTAAAGTGACTATCACTTTTTTCCAAGGAATTTCCCCAACTTTGGAAACACTAGAGCTTGGTGCAGAAAAGAGATTCTTCACTTCCTCAACCCAAAGGAAAAAGCTGATTCATATTTCCTCTTCAGAAAAACAAGTCACTTTAATGCCTACATTTCTGGCTGATCGGTCCCTGGTAACCTTTATAGGAAGCTGAATAAAAATGTACTGGCACTTTTTCTCCTTCTCATTCACAATTGGCCTGAGGCTTTCTAAAGTACTATAACTGGCAAGTCTGGATTTCTGTACCTGATATTTATTTTACCTGCTTACTTTTACAGTTATAATATTCAGAAAACTCCTTTCTTATTAAGAATGTTGTTGCCCATCAAGTTTTCTTTCAGATGAAAGCCAAAATTACAATTGTTGGTTCCTCATATGTAGTCCTCCAGCTATGCTGTAAAAATCAGCTCAGATATGTATGTGAGCATAAATATACTTATGCAGGACAAAAACCAGATTGGTATATAGCTACATTTGATTGAAGTCATAAATCTTCTTACTCTCTGAACTTTATCCTATGTGAAATCTCACAGAATTAATCTGTTTTAATGAACAACTTTTAGGCACACAATTCATTCCTGTTAAGAATGTTAATGTAAGGAATGTAGCTACCAGAACACAGGGCTAGACAGCAGAAAGGCTAATGCTTTTACAGCCAAGAATCTTACTTGCTCTATAGAAATGCTCTCCCTTACAATTAACAAATTGTCAGTGGAAACAGGGTGGAGACCAAAGCCTTAAAATAAAGAAGGGTGACCCCTAGTGTTTGTTCAGAAATAAAGATTGTGTGAATCTATCTTCCCCATTCTTGAAGATGAAGAATTCAATACCATAAGTGAAGTGTACCTAAATAACTGTGTTATATATAATCAGTATAATTAGTGCTATTATTAAAAGAATATCTAAATGGCAAAGTGTTTCCCCCACCATTCACACATAGTTAATCTACAATTTACCCCTAGGTGTGGAACTCTAGTAGCAGCAGATTCACTGGAACAGACACAAGCTCTGCCTCAAAGAACAAATGGAACGATTCAAGAAAATAAGAAAAAGCCCCAAACATGGAGTCACACTTTACTGAGGATGACAAATTGGAGCCTAGCTTTGGCAAGACTGAGCTGTATGAAATATGTCTAAAACTAAACGGAAAGTGTCAAACCCAACCATGTTTCTGAAGTGGCAGAAACATACCTCCGTCTGCTTGGCCAGTAGCATTAGGGTTGCCACGTGGAAAAATATAGCTTTTCCCAACCAACTAGAAATCATCCATGATTCTAATGTGTACTTCACAAAAAGATAAATATATGGATCCAAGTGGATGAAATAACATATTCGCTCATATCCACATTATCTGTATACTTGGTTTTTTTTCAGGCTGTTTCCTCTGTTGAGACAAACAATAGCACAAATAGATGTTTCTGTGAGTTCCCACAACTATCTTTTTGGTTGCTACATGACAGTGGTTTTCAAACTTTTTTTTCTCATGACCCAGTTGAAGAAAATTGTGGATGCCCATGAACAAGGGCAGACGATTGGGGCATGGGCTTACCCACAGGAAGCTTGCCTTAGTACCCCAGCTGGCTTGCTGAGAGAGGTATGTCTATACTGCAACACTATTTCAGGATACTATAGTATCCTGAAATAGCTATCCTGCATCTTCACAGAAAGTCCATTATTTCGAGCTTGCTATTCTGACATCCCTGTAAACCTCATTCTATGAGGAGTAAGAGATATTTTGGAATAGCACTTTATTTCAAAATTTGGTGCTGTGTAGACAGTGCCAAATGACGAAATAAGCTATTTTGAAATAGCAATGAAATAAGATATGCAATTTGCGTAGCTCAAATTGTGTATCTTATTTCGAGTTATGATAAAGTATTGACGCACCCTGTATGTCCTAGCTCCCATTGGCTGTGCTGTGGCTTGGAAACAGCCAGCAGTAGGTATGGCTCCTAAGCGGAGGCATGTGCACAAACAGTTCTGCACATGGCTCTCCCCCACATGCACTGCCCCCATCTCCTGTTGGCCAGGAAATGGCAAATGGGAGTGCAGAGCTGGTGCTCATGGCAGGAGGCAAGAACAGAGCCTCTGGCCTCCTCACCTAGAAACCAGACCTGCTGCTGGCTGCTTCCAGAACACAACATGGTCTGTGGTGCCAAGACAGGCAGAAACTGCTTGCCTTAGCATCCCACTGGTCACGTCACAGCTCTGTGTGATATTCTGCAACCCAGGACTGGGTCACAACCCATACTTTGAAAAGCACTGATGTATGGCGCCAACTGCTACAAGTGCTGCAACCCTTTCTTTACAAGACAGCTTCCTTTCATGGCAAATACCTATTTATCATTGTTTTCCCCTCTAGAAACCCATATTATTTATCTGGTCCACCAGACCGTTCTACTAAAGAGTTCCTTATTTTGACACTCAAATGTACCTGTTTTCCACTGTTCTCCTTTTGGCACTGAGAAGATATTCCCTCAATTCATTTTAAAATCATCCTCTTTACTTGCATGATTTCCTCAATTGCATGTGACATCTCCCCCCATATCTCTGTGTGACCTCTCACTTAAAACACCCTCTGCAACAGATGACTGAAGGATAGTTGCATTAACACCAATTCTTTTTAAAAGCTCCAGAAGGGATCTTTGTAATTACAGGCCAGTAAGCTTAACTTTGGTACCAAGCCAATTCGTTGAAACCATAGTAAAAAAAAAATTATCAGATACATCGAGCAACACAGTATGGTAGGAAAGAGTCAGCATGGCTTTTGTAAAGGGAAATCATGCCTCACCAGTCTCTTAGAATTCTTTGAAGAGAGTCAACTTTATGGGAACATGGGTAAGAGATAAATGGGGGAGGGGTTTCCCCAAGGATATGTACTGGCAACATCCGGCTTCCTCCTCACAGCAGTTGCTAGAGAGGATTTGGTTCACTTGATAACATACTTTGGGAACATTCTAGTTGAAAGCATATTACTGTAATGTCATATTGTTCCTAGTAATTAGTGCTGTTCAATATATTCATAAATGATCTTAAAAAGGGTGAATGAAGCAAAGTTTTCAGATGACTTCACCCAAGATAGTGAAGCCCAAAACTGACTATGAAGAGTTACAAAAGGATTTCACAACACTGGGTAACTGAGCAACAAAATGGCAGATGAAATTCAATGTTGATAAATGCAAAGTAATGCACAATAGAAAATAATCCCAACTCTACACAAAATGATGATGTCTAAATTAGCTGTTATCACTCAAGAAAGAGATCTTGGAATCATTGTGAATAATTCTCTGAAAACATCTGCTTGGTGTTTAGTGGCAGTCAGAAAATGTAACAGAATAGGAACCATTAGGAAAGGGATAAATAATAGAACAGAAAATATCAAAATGCTGCTACAGAAATTCATGGTACACCCACACATTGAACATTGCACGCAGTCCCTGTCACCCCATCTCAAAAAAGATATACTGGGATTGGGAAAAGTATAGAGAAAGGGAAAAAATGATTAAGGGTATGGAACAGCTTCCATATCAGAAGAGTTTAAAAAGGCTGGAACTGTTCAGTTGAGAAAAGAGCTGACTAAGGGGTGATATTATGGAGATCTTTAAAATTATGAATGGTGTGAGGAAAGTGAATAAGGAAATGTTGTTTACCCCTTAAATTAACACAAGAATCATGAATCACCCCATGAAATTAATAATAATCAAGTTTTCAAAACAGAAACACTTCTTCACATTGTGCACAGTCAACCTATGGAACTCATTGACAGGAGATGTGGTAAAGACATTGTGCACAGTCAACCTGTGGAACTCATTGACAGGAGATGTTGTAAAAGCTGACGATATAACTGGAATAAAAAAAAACAATTAAATAAACTCATGGAGGATAGGTTCATCAGTGGCTATTAACCAAGATGAGCAATAATACAACCCAATCATCTGGGTATTCCTAATCCTCTAGGATAGTAGTTCTCAGGCAGGGGTATGCAGAGGACTTTCAAGTGGTAAGTCAACTCATCTAGATGTTTACCTAGTTTTATAACAGGCTACCTAAAAACGAAGTCAGTACTAAAATTTCATACAATTTCTTGTTTATGTTGCTCTGTACACTATAATTATCTGGTACAATGAGAAAGTAGCATTTTTTTCAGTAATAGTGTGCTTTTGTGGGACTTTTATATTTTTATGTCTGATTTTGAGAGCAAATACTTTTTAAGTGACTTGAAACATGGGTACACAACACAAACAAGTCTCCTGAAAGGGGTACAGTAGTCTGGAAAGGTTGAGAGACACTAAGCTTGAAGCTGGGACTGGATGACAGAAGTGGATCACTCAAATTGCCATGTTCTGTTCAGTTCCTCTGAAACATCTGGTGCCAGCCACTGTCGAAAGACAGGATTCTGGACTGGATGAACCATGTCTGACCCAGTATGGCCATTGTTATATTCTTAATTCTCTTTTTTAAATTGACAAATCGCCACAGTGATTGTTTGAGTAGTAGGATTTCTATTATAGTATTACCTACAGACCCCAAACAGGGATCAAGACTACATTACCTCTAGTGCACTACACCAAAGATGAAAAGACAGTTCCTGACTGAAAGACTTTACATTCTAAATGTATTTTGACTTGTGACTTTTTTCTTTTTTGAAGCAAGCCTACATCTTCAGTAGAAATTTGATGTGCCACATGCCAAAGCTGACAATACAGAACATTCCAAATTTTAAAAGGTAATAACTTTTTTAAAATAGAAGCTCAGCAAGTCAGGATCCCTGCTTATGGCTATGTAACCCTCACTCCCAGACCTCTTTGATCACTTGTCCCCTGAAGTTAACTGTAAAAAATTTTAAAAGAAAAAACCCCACACTGTGTCTACATTGGCATGATTTTGCGCAAAAGGAGTCGCTTTTGCGCAAAATCTTGCCACCTGTCTACACTGGCCGCGAGTTCTTGCTCAAGAACACTGACATTCTAATGTATAAAATCAGTGCTTCTTGCACAAATACTCTGATGCTCCCACTCAGGGATAAGCCCTCTTGCGCAAGTGTTCTTGCGCAAGAGGCCAGTGTAGACGGGCAACATGAATTTCTTGTACAAGAAAGCCCGATGGCTAAAATGGCCATCGGAGCTTTCTTGCACAAGAGAGCGTCTACATTGGCACGGATGCTTTTGCGCAAAAGCACATCTCTTGTGCAAAAGTACATGCCAGTGTAGAGGCTCTCTTGTGCAAATGCTTTAACTCAAAAACTCTTGCGTTAAAAGTATTTGCGCAAAATCTTGCCAATGTAGACGTAGCCTCACTGTTTTGGCACTGTTAGATCTCAGCTAGGGAGCCCATTAAGTTTAATTGTATTTCTTTGCTGTTTTCTGATTATTTCCCCCTCCCCCTTTATTTTAGTGTGTCCATTTTTTTAAATATTCAACTTTGGCACCAGTCAAACCTAATAATTTTGAGGCCAATACAACTTTTTTGTTGCTTGTCGAAGGAAGAGGCCCAACATTTTGCAATTTCAGGTAAGAGCAGCTGCTCTTGCTCCATAATTTCTTATCCTAAAACTGTGCTGAATAAGAACAGCTGCTGTGCTTCATTCCAGAGGGACTGGACCTAGTGCTGGGTGAGCTCCTACTTCTTGAGGTCTGAGGGGCAGAGGGGATAGAGAGCTTCTGCCCTTCCCTATCCAAATTGTACAGCAGGATCTTTCCATAGCTTTACAGAAGAGCTGTGACAGTGCATAAGGTATGTCTACATTTGCACCCTAGTTCGAACAAGGGATGTAAATGCAGGCATTCGAAATTGCTAATGAAGCAGGGATTTAAATATCCTGCGCTTCATTAGCATGATCACGCCAGCGCGCTAGTTCGAATCTCAGCTGATTCGAACCAGGAAGTGCGCGCGAGGACGCGTTAGTTTGAACCAAACCCCTTGATTCAAACTAATGTTACTCCTCAAAAAAAAAATTTTTTTTTAATTCCTTAAAAAAATTTAAACTTCATTAGCAATTTAAAATGCCTGCATTTGCATCCCTAGTTCGAACTAGGGTGCAAGTATAGTCATACCCACAGCGCAAAATCTTGCCAATGTAGACGTAGCCTCACTGTTTTGGCACTGTTAGATCTCAGCTAGGGAGCCCATTAAGTTTAATTGTATTTCTTTGCTGTTTTCTGATTATTTCCCCCTCCCCCTTTATTTTAGTGTGTCCATTTTATTAAATATTCAACTTTGGCACCAGTCAAACCTAATAATTTTGAGGCCAATACAACTTTTTTGTTGCTCGTCGAAGGAAGAGGCCCAACATTTTGCAATTTCAGGTAAGAGCAGCTGCTCTTGCTCCATAATTTCTTATCCTAAAACTGTGCTGAATAAGAACAGCTGCTTATTCAAGAGGGATAAGGGATCTTTCAGAAAAGACTTTATTTTTCGAAAGATAAGCATCTAGACTGGCGCTTTTCTCCAGCAAAGCTCCGTGCCAAAAAAAAGCGGCAGCCATTTTTATGCTAATGAAGCGCGGGAGATTTAAATCCCCGCTTCATTAGCAATTGCGATACGTCTAATTTACATCCCTTTTCCAAAAAAGGGATGTAGTCTAGATGTAGCCCT